TAACCTAAGTTGGCTTGAGTGGGTTTCTGTTTCTTGCCACCAAGAACAAGCAGCAATGACAATCAGGCACACTTGGGTTCCAGTGGTCCAATTAGGTGAATGCTATCCCCCCCTATTTTTCTTCGTTGCTTTTATTTCAATGGGAAAAAATTAGAAAAAAATCTGGGACACCACTCTTCCCCCTGCCTGCTGCTTAGTAAAATAGAACCACCGAGACACTCCGGGGACAAGGAGCACAGCAGAAAGCCAAATAATTCACGGGTGACTGACCCTGACTAACGGCAACCCTATTCTTTCAGACTCTGCACCCTTTTATCCACTTGGAACGCCTGTTCACACGGAATCACAGGATTTAAAGAGACAGATGTCCTCGTTACCAAGCAGATGTAGCCTGAGGAATAAGAAGCTCTAGGGCTCATGAAACATGACTTCACGTACGTCGTCCCTGTTGACAAACACTTTTGGAAGTCAGGATAATTCCAAAATCGGTAATAAATGTACTGAACCGATCGGGCCCCGAGTGATGGCAAGGGGAACGAACGATCAGCCTGTCACTCCCCAGCCAAGCTCCCCGAGTTCTCCCCGCCCCAGACAGGGACACGGGGCAGTTAGAGAGCATGCGCCGCGTCATGTACCACGGTCTCTCTCAAGCACTTGGCTCAGAGTTCCATCCCGGAGTGGTCTTGACCCTGCTCTGTTGCCATGGGCACGGAGTGGCTGCTGGGCTGGAGGCCGGACCAGTGTCCGCCTCTGCTCTCCCTGTTTCTGACGGGATCAGAAAACAAGGTGTCCCTGCTCTGAAACGATGAGCTCTCCCCCACAGGCCCTGGAGGCCCCTGCTGAAAAGCCAGGCTGGCCTTGGGGCGGCAGGGGCGTCTTGAGGTCAGACATCTCAGGGTTGGGTTGATGAGGAGGACAGGGCTGTCTGTGGACAGGACACGTGGCCCAGGGCTAAGGGCCCTGGGGTCAAACCGGCGATGCACAAGCACACCCGATTTCATTGCCCAGGTGGCAGGACTGCTCCCCCAAATCAAAAGCGTCCTAAGCTTCAATCCGCAGACGCCATCGGGCTCCAAACCCTCTTCCGGCAGAGGCGAGGGGAGATGGCTTTTCAAAGACCTTGATTCCTCCTCTCAGTCCCCTTTCCACCCTCTCACAAGCTGGGCTGCTCACCTCAGGTCAGCAGTTTGAAACCACCAGCCGCTCCATGGGAGAGAGATGAGGCTTTCTACTCCTGGAAAGAGTTACAGTCTCAGAAACCCACAGGGGCAGTTCCACCCCGTCCTGTAGGGTCACTTACAGGGTTGCTGTGAAGGTCCCGCCAGGGAAGTTTTCCCTTTTAGCTCTGGTTGGAGCCTGAGGCCGCCTTAGGGAGGTCAGTGCCCCTGCTGGTGGCCGTGGGTATTGCAGCAGAATGAAACACTTCTCCCTAGAACGCTGAGAGCGCGATTGTAACCACAGCGACCTCTGAGCACCTTCCAGCACTCTGAGTGCTGTTGGCTAATTATCACCATGCCTTTCTCCCTAGTCTGTCTTGGTCTGGAAGCTCTGCTGAAATCTACACATCATGAATGACCACCGCAGTGTTGAAACACACGACTGGACTCCCAGCATCACCAAAACATGCCGATTACCACAGCCCTGTGATTACCACAGTCACTCTGTGAAAATTCCCTGCTCCCTGCTCACAGCACACAGCTGACGGGATGGTCTTCTACCACAGTGGGCAGAAACGTCCCTGACAAACGGGCTTCTGCCTGTCCTTATGTGGCTGCTCTCGACGGCAGTGGCAGCCCCGGAGTGACCAGGGAGAGGCAACGAGGACACAGGCACAAAAGAAGTGAGCAGCGTGCACTGTGGACCTCATCACCATGGGCGGGCGAGTGGCGCTGCGCCTCAAGGCCGCCTATCAACAGGGTGAAAGGCAACATCTGGGACCCATATCAGGGTCTCCAAATCGTTCGTGGAAAATGTACAGTGTGGAACAACTGTGCATGGATTTAACATTTTTGGCACCCCTCCCCAACAAACAAACAAACAAACAAACTTTCATTGACTTGCTATAACATGTGGAAACAGGATTTAGTTTGACGGATAAGCCATCAGTTTGGGCGGAGATCCTGCGAGAGCAACTTGAATTCTGCTAAAGGGGGAGCAAGAACAGACATCAAGTGCATGGCGGATGCTAGAATGGAGAGTGGTCAAATCACGGATACGCGGCAACATGTTTGGGGTGAAGGGGTAGTGCCTCTCCCCCCAATCAGTGGTTTACAAACGGATAGCTCGCTTAGGAAGGGGAGAATGATGCGGAAGGCGACGTCCGTTAGGGAAACCACCCACCTGGGTTTGTGAGGAGGAATGACTCATTGTTGCTCTGACCGAATGGACCGAGGATTGATGGCAGAAACAATAGCCAACCCATAGATGCCTCCATGCCCTCAGCTCATGCATTCTGACTGAAGGATTAAAGTGGGGCAGGCTTCCTGTTGAACGGGTGCAACCCTGTGCACCGCCCAAATCGGCTGCAGACGAGGAGCAGAGCCTCCATGGAGATTTCAGAGACAGGATGGGGTCCTGCGGCGTTTCTGGGAAGAACTGAAACAGGAGCGGACACATGGCCACAGCGGTCTGACCCTGAGGACAAAGTGCCAGCAAGGGCGGAAGTGGCCCTCATCAAAGCAAAGCAGGGCCAGTCAGGAGCAGAGGTCACGGCAAGAGTCTCAGGGATGCTCCAGGTATTTTCCCTGTTGATTTTTGGAAGGTCAAGAGACAATCACATCTCATTATGAGAGTGTTTTCAGGAAGTTAGCCAAACCTTAACAGAGACTCCCCTAGGGAAACCTGGCCAGACAGCGCTTCTCCACCACCACTCGGCTCTGCTCATTCTTCTCACCAAAAGGGCGCTTTTGCAAGAGCTTCCACAGGAAATCATTAGGCAACCCCTTACAGTCCTGACGTGGCTCCTGACTTCCTTAAGAACCACTAAAAGGCACCCACCTTTCTTCAGTTAACACTGTAACAGAGTCCGCACTGCCAGGACTCCTGGTTTCTTAGGGATGGACTCAGCGTCTGGAACCTTCCATTACCCAAGTGTCTTGAACCTGATGGAGCCCATGCTGAGAAATTAAGAAAAAATATCTATTCCCATTTCCCCAAGCGTTTTGAAGTCCCCCTTGTGCGTAGCTGATAGAAATTCTATATTCCAAATACACAGAGAACGCCTACAACTTGGCAACAAAATAACAAGCAATCTTATTTTCAAAGGGCAAGGACTAGGATGTGTTTCTCCAAAGATTTACAGATGGTCACAGGGTGGTTATCTGTTAGGGAAATGCACAGTGAGATACTACTTTCTCTACCCTCACGAGTCAATGCTGGCTCAGCAACGCCCTGTGGGTTTTCCCAGACTGTCACTGCTTAGGGCGTAGAAAGCCCAGCCTTTCTCCCACGGAGCAGCTGGTGGTTTTGAACTTCTGACTGTGTGGTTAGCCGCCCAATGAGTACCCACTACCCCACAAGGGCTCCTGGTTAGGGCTCACTCACTGCCATCGAGTCAGTGCGTTACTGGGTCGCTATGAGTGATGGTAACTGTTCACGGGAGGAGAAAGCCCAGTCCTTCTCCTTCAGAGATGCTAGTGGTTTTGAACTGCTGACCATGTGGATCCCAGCCCAACATGTAACCTCTACACCACCAGGTACATCTCTGGTGGGACAGTAAATGGTGCAGCCGCTGTGGACGAGTGACCGCTCCTCACAATGTTAATACCTCACGACTCAGCAATTCCACTCGCAGGGATATAACCAAGAGACGGGACAGCAGGGAATCCACAAGCTAGCTCTACACTGGTGCCCACTACCGCACGCGCCAGAGCCATCGCACGGTGGAAACAGCGATGTCACCCACTGGAGATGGATTACAAGAAAGAAGGCACGTTCCCACCGTGAAGTGCTACCCAACCATAGAGAGAAACCATGTCTGGGGCCTGCTGAAACACAGATGAGCCTTGAAAAGCTTATGCAGTTGGAAGGAACCAGACATCAGAGGGCAACTGTCAGATGGCTGCCATTCACATGAAACATCTCCAACGGCACAGGCCAGTCATTTCCAGGGCTCCAGGGTGGGGCAAGGAGGGAGTTGCTGTTTGTTGGGTACACATGAACGATTCTGGGTTTTGGAGTGACGGCATTTTAGAAATAAAGTACGATGCTTGCCCGACATTGTGACTCTAACCAAGGCCATTGAATCTACACGGGTTACACTGTATGATCTATGTTTGATGACACTACAAAAATAAAAGAGATCCAGCAGACAGCGCTGATGTTCTGCCCTGGGTACTGAGCCCAACCTGGCCCTTCTGGGCCCGTGCTGCGCTCCCTCTGCCGGCTCACCAGCTCTTGCCCCCACGCCTTACCCTGGCGTGCCCTTGTGCTGCTTTACTACGTCACCCACCGTGTGGGCAGTGGGAGCCTGGTTCACCCATGCCTGTGTCTTCCAAATTCCCGGGCCACGGCAGAGGCTAGGATTGCTACACTAATAAATAGAGCAATCCCCGTGGCACTGGGGGGCATGACCTGAAGGGGAGAGGGAGCGGGCGGGTGTAGAGTCTGGGGGAGCAGAGAAACTTGCGGTGAGCTGACTACAGCTTGTGGCCTTCAGGCTTCCTGGACTGTTCTCCGAGGGGTGGGGAGGAGAAGACGCCAGGTGGGGGAGGCCGCAGGTGAGGCGGTGAGTCCAGGTGGTGGCATCGGATACCCTTGGCTATCGTGACGCCTAGAGGCCTCAGCGGGTGATCGTGGCAGTGGGGGATGGGAGCACCCTCAGCATATTCACAGCAGGGGTCCCGGGGCCTGTAACGTGCTGTGCCAGGCACTTATTTTGCCACGCTCCGCCCTCCCCCGTTGTCCTCCAGCTCAGCTGCTGGCCTCTTTAGAAACCGCCTGGAGGTGGACCCCGCCTGGAAACCCAGAGCTGAACTGCCTGCAGTCCAGGGGGGCATTACCTCTGGAGTCCCAGTCGATGTGAGTGATGTAGCTGGACGCGCCTTTGCAGATGCCGACCCGCTTGCTGGTGAGAACATTGTAAATGTCCACAAAGTGATCGTGAGATGCCACGGCGAGGTATTTCCCTGTGTCTGCAGAGAGAAGCACGCGCGCGCGTTAGCTCCCAGACTTTTCACGCGGCCGCCGTCCTCATTTTACAGCTGGGGAAGGGGCAGAGGTGCGTTTTAAAAGAGCCCACTCGGCCATCCCCACTATGAGACATGTCGCCCTTCACTGACCCATAGCCCTACAAGGGACAACACCAGAGACACAGTGTGGGAATTGCACCTGATCGGGTCCTGCCACACTGAGGCAAAACACTAAGGGGGTGCAACAGAACAGCAAGGGAATGGAGTGGCGAGGTCCC